AGGACGTTTTTCATAACGCAAACACAACTGTATGCAGATTTATTGATCGCAGGTTTCGGTACCCACTGTTCCGACAGGAACGTGGTAGTGACTATCCGCCTGCCGGAAGAACGGAGCAATACCCGCTTAGCCTAACAGGCCAACGATTCTTGACGTGTTACACAAGTCAATTCCTAACCTTTGAATTCTACCTCACCCCATTTCAACTTGAATTGTGGATTGGTGTAGCAATCACCCTAGTCTTTGTTGTTGGTTGTTTAACGATTTTTATTAAGCTAAGTGGTGATTGCAATGGTACAGATACAGCCTCATTCTCTCCATGGCTTCATGTTCTCCCAACGATTTTTGAAGAGACTAATTCCGTCCCATCTGTCATCGAGAAGAAACAATTTTACCGTTTAACATTCGGCACTTGGGCCCTCATGGCCTCTATCCTTACAAATTGTTACAACGGCATTATGATTGAGACTTTAATTGCTCCTTTTCCTGGAATTAAAATCCTCACATTTAAAGACATTTTTTGCGAAGAAGGAAAAGTTTGGGAAAGCATGAGCAATATGTCGGCTTGGTTGAGCGAAACTAAAATTTTAGAATATTGGAGTCAAGCTACCAGGATTTTCGGTAACAGCGCTGCTGCCTACGAAAATCGCTCGGTACTACCGAATCACTCTCTTAAAAATCATTTCGAGTTGGATCATTGTTTTCGACTTCTTTCGGCACCACAGACCGTGGCATTGCCCAATCTGCCATCGAATCAGTTTTTCTATACCCTTAAAGATTGGTGGTGGCAAATTGAGCATAATATTCAGTACTTTGAATCCCAACTATATCCTGAAACTCTACTTCTAAGTCCAAAACATGGTCATGAACTGAACGATGGAAGCGAAAAGAATAGGAGCAAATCAACGGAGGAGCTTTCAAAGTTGGTGGAAGCTGAAGTTGTAAAATGTGGAAGAACCGTCTTCATTGCAGAATGGGAGGAGGTTGCCCAGCAATATTTTTATCTGTCTAAGAAATACTATTGGAAGAATTTTTATATTAGTGAAGATTCACTAATGCAGGACATAGCATTACTGAGCTTTAGGAATATTGACGGTTCAAATGTTCCAACGAAGTTCAAGGCTTATGTTGAAGCGGGAATTTGGAGCAGGCTGGAAGAGGCCGGGTGGGCAAGGAAATTTGATCGAAGACGAAAGTCTGAGAGGGAGCATGGACCAGGTACGCAAGTTGCTGTTCCACTGGACGGGTCTATTCTAACCTTATTCGTGCTTTGCGGGATGGTAATTTCTATCGCTTTGTTGCTATTTGGAAAAGAATGTCGGCGGGAGATTTATTTATTTTCTCTGACCATTGTTCCGAAGCTGGGACGTTATTTTATTTTAGTTTCTCGGAAGATAAATAATTATGTTGGTTTGATATGGTATGATTTATTTCGACCACCCTTTTAGGCATCTGGCCTGAGTGCAACAATAATTTTTTAGTAATATTTCAATTATCTAATGTACGTTGATCGTTAATAATTAGTGTGTTTGTATAACTCAATAATGATTAAATGGTTACATGAAAATAATAATAAGTTGTTCGCCAAGCAGTTTAAACTTTCTCCTCCATATATGTACCTAACCTCATTAAAATGCAAGTACCGCACAAGTGGCACTATATACCTACTACAATAATTATACATAATAAATTATAACAAGTCATAATTTATAATCAATAACGATTGTAATTTAACCTGACAGCAAACAATAACTACCCAATTGCCCTATTAAAATTCACATCTTGATTGTTGTTATCCCCGCCTTTGACATTTATCATAATTATGATGAAATGCAGAATTAATCCATCGGTGACTTTCGTGAGCTTTTTTAACTCCACCCTCAAAAATTTCTTGGACGAAAAAAAAACCAAGGACGAATTGTTGAATGGTGATATTCATGGGATACTCTACATAATCATTTGGTAAATACAAAATTCTTAAAATGATGAATGTCGAGACTTGGCACTGAAATCAGGGGAATGTCAAGTCTCATAACCCCACAATACGGGTCATATGAGATACCGTTAGAAAAATCTCCCCACGAGGGTTTTAGAATATATATACTTTGTCTGGTGTGTGACCACTTCCTCTGTTCAAAAAAAAAATTTTGAGTTTGTTTATACAAATATCTACATATTGCCATGTTTTGCTGTTAAATTCTGGAGAATTTTAAATTATCGTTCGTACGATTATCTCAGGCCTTGTGAACCCCAAACCATGACATTTCGTCATTGTATGATGTTTAGTATAAATTGGGATGGTTTATGCATGCGTCATTTAAAAAATTCCAAAATCCTTCAAAAAGCTCAAAGTGTAAAATCATGAAATTGGTTTTGAGAACTTGGAAAATCGCTCGAAAATTGTTGTAGGAAAAAACATTAGGAAACTTTTGGCGAAACCCGTCTTCAAAAATATTGACCCGCCTTTGGGGCCGTTCATAAATTATGTAACGCAAAAATCGACTTTTTTCAGAACCCTCCCCCCCCTCTGTCACACTAGCGTAACGCAAGAACAATACCCCCCTCCCCCTGTGTAACGTAACGCAAATCTCATTTTTCCCGAAAATGTAAAGGACAAAAATGAAAAAAAATTAAAGACATTTCTGTACGTTCATTCTATACAGAATGCAGAATACACAATTTACATGAATTTGCTTAATCGAATTACTTAACTGAAGTGGAATTGCGCAAACTTTGGGTAAATTGCAATTGGAAATTGGTAATGAAAGGAACTTCATCGGAAGAACTAAAATTTTAGCATATTTTGTTGTGGACAATGGTAGTTCAGTTTCCTATCAAATATCATGCAGTATAAATCTTTTGCCCAATTTCAGAAACCTGACGGTCCAATTTTTTATGAGATAATGAATTGCTAGCATTGTATACGACACTGCGTATGGATCGGAATTCCCAATTTTTATATTAGATGTAAAGATTTATTTGCAAATTTTCTCGAATTATCGTGGAAACTCGTTTCCTGTAGAGTAAAAGTTTCCGTGAATTTTCAATTATTTTCAGGAAATGTCAAATAATTTTCGGAAATTTTGAATGTTGTTTGGAATTTTTAAGCATTTTGAGCAAATTTTACATTTGAATTTGAGTTACGTAACGCAAGACCCTGACCCACCCACCCCCCTCGTTACATCCTGTAACGCAAGTCTGAAGACCCCTCCCCCCCTCTTGCGTTACATAATTTATGAACGGCCCCTTTGCCATAAAAATCGTAATCGGGCACGATTTATCCAACTTGGAGTTCCTCCCACTTCGCGAGGGGGCGGAGTAGAAACGGACTTCTACCGTTGGACTCAGAAAAATCAGCTCAACAAATGCTGCGAATCTTATCCAAATTAAAATTGTAAAGGTGTGAAGTGATTCCGGTTTTTATTATTGTCACTTTATAGTTGGATAATTTGTTTTGCCAAAGTTTGGTAATTTGGTATTTTGGATATTTGATAATTGCACCATTTTCAGATATGTTACAAGTGTATGAAGTGTCAACTCGATTTTTTAATTTTATACATAACTTGTATTAGGGGCAAAGTACGGCGGGCCTGGAGAGCGACGGTTTGTAACGATCAGGTTTTTACATTAGTTATCGAGAAGATATGGAAATCGTGTCAGCCAAAAATTCCCTTGTTAAAGGCAATTAACGGATTGCGTAATATCAATCAGGTCACACCACTCAATCACCGAAGCTCAATATACGTATGTACGTTATTAAGCAAAGTTATTAAGTAAACATGTTGTACCCAATAATTTAATTACGTTTCGTGTTTTCCACTAATGTACGTAATTGATTTGTGATGTACCTCTGACGATAACAAAACCGGTACGTCATAACTTTTGCCTTTAAATACAGAATTTCCATCCCATTCATTCACTAACAAAAACCCAATAACTTACATACATTGTCCCCATCGTTGCCCAAAACCATCAAAAATGAAACTCCTCATCACCATCTTATCCCTTTACCTCCTTCTCGACCAGTCCTCCAAAATGGTGCATTCTCAACTTATCGCTACCAAGGTGGCCGCCGTCCTCCCGACAAGACGTCACGCCACCGCCGCTCACTACGACCCTTCCAGCGATTCTATCTACATCTTTGGTGGAAGGCAGCTGGCCGGCATTACGAACGACATCCTGCAATTTAACATCACCTCTGAGACTCTAACTCGCGCAAAGGGGTTCCTTCCAGTGTCCCGCTGCGATGGGACAACCTCGTCCGACTCCTCGGGCAATATCTACTACCACGGAGGGCCTAATTCCGCGGAAATTTTTAAATTCTCCACTTCCCTTCAAACCGTGGAGAAAGTGGCAATGCTGCCTGCCCGCAACTCTGAGTCTGCCTCGGTACAGATTTCGCCCTCATCCGAGGAGGTGCTGATCCTTGGTGGTATCAAGGCCCGGGGTGGCGTCGTCAAGTTTAATATGGATACCTTGGAAGCACAACAATTGGCCCCACTTCCCATAAATTACACGGTCATTCTGGCCGTCTCGGATGGACCTGGGAGTGCCTACATTTTCGGAAATCCTTACACAGAAGGGGAAATTTCTGGGGAACATTATGTAATCAAGATGAATTTGACTACGTTAGAAACAGTTGAAATTGGGGGTGCAACGTTTCCTTCGGTTCGAGATAAAGGGGCGGCTGTATGGGATGGGAGTGATGTTTACGTGGTAGGTGGATACGGAGGGTTCCCGACGGGAATTAGGAGTGACTCGATACTGAAGTGGAGCCCTGCCAGGATGGAACATAGTATAATTCCGGTCCTTAATTTTCCTTGGGCGTTCGACAGGCAGGAATTTAAGGGAGCGAGTGCCGCCTTTGTTGAGAGGTTGAGGAGGATTTATTTCTTTGGGGGAATGTCACAAAATGCGGGGAGTGGGGCATATATGATGTATGATGGGATTTGGTATATTCAATTGTAGGTGGGAATGGTGTGAGTATGCAGATTGGGTTACTGAGTGATGGGATATTTATTGTTGGATTAGATTTTTGGAGGTATCAAGTAATAAATTGGTAAAATTAATGAAAAATTACACATTTGCCATTATTTGTTTGCATTCACGTATTCTAATATTACATACAAGTGGAAAGACATATATGCTCTGTTAACCATTAAACAGATACAATTGTGTACATTTCCGATTTTGCTTGAATAAGTGAACCACATAAATATATGAGTTAAATAATTTCAATCAATTAGTCGAGTTAAACATATCCGAAAACAATGGATCCATCACCTCCTGCCACATTGCATATCCCAACTTGGAAAGATGAATCAAATCATGGACATATAATCCTTCGTAGAAGAAATTCCCGTCAAAATAGGCCCCCCTCATATTCAGGTATCGCACCGTGTTTCCATTATCCAGGATGGAAATCATCCCATTTATATTTTCACATCGGCTCGTCATCACAGAATTTTCGCGCGGAAGGATTCCCAGCAAAAGCACTTTTGTCTCTGGTAAGCGGGACCTGAGTTCGGTAACGATGGAGGCAATTCCACGGGCGATGTCGACATCGGTGTTTTCGTCCAAATTGTTCGTTCCTGGAAAATATTAAGGGAATTAAATTAAATTGCAAGTAGTTAAGTAGTTAGAAAAATTAACAGACCAATTTTTAAAACGCACACTTTTGGCCGCAAATTTGAAACTTCCCCATTAATAATTCGCCAAAGGACTTGTTCCGTTCTGTCCGAACCTACCCCGTAATTTGCAGAACCCAAGGGAGCATAATATTCGTCATATATTTCTTTAGCGCCCCAATATGGATCGTCCACCTCCCAGTTGTCAGTAATGGAATCACCGTAAAAGAGAAGGTTGATTTCACCCCCGTTTATTAAGGAATTGTTGACGAACCCTTCGTGCCGTTCAAGCCATGATCCGTCACGTGGTTCTGGTATCCAAGGAGTCCCAGCCAAAACGGTGGAAAGAAAGGAAATCGTGGCGAAAATTGTGAATATTTTCATTTTGGCGAAATAAGTTTATCGAGACAAGAAAGAGTGCAGAGTAAACCAGACGGAATGCGACAGATATCACTTGGTTGTTAATTGTGTTGCAGAATTGTATTTCATTATCATGACACCCACAAGATTAATAGGAATTGTCTGCCTGATATAATCAAAAGGGTGATTACGTGGATGAATGATTGCTTGTATGGAAGATTTAAATTAAACGAACACATACTTATTAGCTCACCCTGCGTAGCACGGGAGCTATTGAATTCCTCCTGTCTGTCTGTCTGTCTGTCCGTCTGTCTGTTAATGTGTTTTTGGCATCAATTGATGCTAATTAAATTGGACCATGGCCATTTTTTAGGAAATTCGTGGCACCATTCGTGTCTAACAAGCCATAAGGCATAATGGTGCCAAACAATTGGGCTAATTGATTTAATACGATCCAAAAGTGCAGACAAATCAGCAGAAAGTCATCCCCATGGTTGTGGCCGTAATTGTAGAAATTATGTCAAATTTATGGATCAATTTTCCCCGCTTATTTTCCACTATTGGTGCAAAATAATATAAACCATTTGTATGTATCTTACTAGGAACACTAGGGAAGTGTGACCCCGACCTAGCAATGCCACTATATGCATTCGGTGCATTTTTCAATTGTAGTCCGATGATGTAACAAAATTTCCGTGTAAAAATGACATTTGGTCACGCTGTGACCATTTTGGTGACGGGCGGGAGGCAGCCGCCCCTTTACTGCTGGTGGGACGGTGCCATGTGCTTGACGATGCGCTCACTCATGCCAAATCGATGCAATCTGATGCCAAGGTAAATAAAGTCATTTTTATGGTCATATTTTGGGGATTTTTATGGTAATTTTTCATTCATATTTTAAGGTTTTATCGATCATTCATATCCGACGTCTGTTAATTACTTACTTAATTACCGAAATTGAAGTAATTAGTAATTGATAATTAATTTCAATTATTCCAGTATTTTTCAAATTAAGTACTTAAGAATTTGAAGGACTTAATTAGGAGTAATTAAAATTGGAGGTACTTAATTACGTGGCCCAGCTGTAATTAGTAATAGGATGAGTTATCGTGACGGATGGCCGGACATAATCGTTCCATAAGCCCTCTAAAAAAATCTGCAGTGTACATAAATCATGGCACTGAAAAATCTTCTAGCCCCCCCCCCCTCCGTTTAGCATGTACCATAGACATGCAACCATTGAAGCCTTAGATCACCCTGCCCCCTCTTGCGTTACGTAATTTATGAAAACACGAATACTGAAAATCTCAGTTTGCCCCAAAAATCTCGCTTTCCCCGTGACCACACCCCCTTAATGTTTGTGAACAAAGCTTCAGCTTCAGCTTCGCACCACATCATATTAGCCAAAATCTCAATTTCCCCAAAAAATCTCACTTTCCCCCTGACCATACCCACTTCCAGGGGGTGTGGAAAACATTTGTGGGGTGGCGGGATAGAATTAGCGCGCTGCGCGGTGCGTGGTGGCTTGACAGGCCAGCGGGATGCGGGATGGCTTGATGCGGGCTGCGGGGTAGCTTTATTCACATATAAATGTGTGGATTTTTTTGACCATTTTGGTGATGAGTCATCGAGTCATACGTTAAGAAAAAAATTAAAATTCTGGACTCCTAACTTTGTTATTGAAAAAGTTTAAAATACATATTTACATAGCCCGACTCTGATCAAATTTCATACTTTCCTTCGTCCAATGCCGCCTCAAACCGCCCCAGAGTAGTGCAGCAGAGTGGTGATGGCGGTATAATTTGGATCATCGACGTCAACCAAGAAGCCGGCCATAATTTTTTGCAAGCTGATGGTTAATTTTTCTTAAATTTGTTCTCTATCTCACCGGCGCCCGGATCGTCATAAATTTTGTAGGAGACGTTTAAGGTAATGATTTCACTATTTTCCCACTATAACTATGGTATGGTCAAGATTAATACTAATTCAGCAGTAATAAATACTGTGTCAAGTAAAATTTATTTAATTTAGATGCTGCCCAACAATCCGATTCCGGCGTCGTCGTCGTCATTCGACATGGACGAGCCGGCACCTTCTAAAATTCTTAAATTGGAGTTGGACAACCCAATTAAAGTAAAATTATCGCAGTACCTCGACCAATTTACGGCTGCAGTGAGATCGGGTGAATTTGTAGTGCAAACTAATCTTGGTGATGCACCCGTAATTGGACTCAGAGTTATCGAGGTACGTAATTCAACCACAATTATAATTAATTTGTTTATATTTATGTTACTTGATAAGTACTTTGAGATGAGAGAATTTTATGTATTTATTTACAGACTGGGAAACTGATGAAATTTCCGCTACAAGAGGACGAAGTGATGATGGAGGAATTGGCAGCTTCACAATTTGAAGTAATTAATAAATAAGATTTAGATAAGTATATGTTTCTCTAATATTTAACGCATTTAAGGTGTAATTAATTGCAAATATCAATTTTATATTGTGTTAAAAACAACTTTTATATATTTCTTAGGAAACACTGATGTAATTTTGCAAATTTTTCGCAGATAATGAACCACAAAGACTGGTCTACATTGGTAGCCTCGGTAGATTCATACCGAATTTGGTTTCCTATACACCGACAGGATTTCCACTTCTTTGGGAAAAGTCGTTTTCCAAAAACCCGGCGCCAAATTTCCAACCAACTTGACCCACTTGTTTACTCCCCGACCAGATAATAATAACAATGGTGCAGAATCTTCACCGAAAAGGCGGACACCCTTCGGCCATCTCGTCATCCAGCTGCCTTCTCACTACACTTATGAAAGTGATATTTGACATGGAAAAAAATGGAATATTGCTGGATATTCAAAAATTGCATCGAAATTGTCATTTTGGACAAAAATCCCGTTTCTTCGCCACGTTTTATTTTTTCCCGTGAGAATGATAGGAGCTAGGGGCATGTATAATAGCTTTTTTTAATCAGCATTAAATTCTCCTCAAAGTGGGTGTGGTTTTGGGGAGAATTTGAGACTTTTTTGAAATTTCATAAAAACCCCCCCAGACACCACACCCCCTTTCAAAAACCACAATAACCCATATTTTTATGCTCCGGGTCTATTTTAAACCTTAAAATAATTGATTCGCATTTTTTGTGAAATAACTCACTGTGCAGGGTGAGCTACTTCTAACGTTACTACGGTTTATTTAAGTATGACCTTCTGATAGAGTTTGACTGAAAAATTATAAGTTTCTAAGGGTGAAACTATACCGGCCCGTTAACTATGAGTATAAATATGTTCCAGGGGTACATTCTTGCAAATAACTCGGGTAGAAATCGAATTGCAGATCGATTTTAAATTCCGCAACAATAATTGGTGCAAAATTTCATGAATCGGTTGAGAAATGACGGTGATAGCACAGATGGTCACTTTATGGGCTGGGGTAAATGCATCCTTAGTAATTTTTTTTCGTTGTTAGGTATTTGGCTAACTAAGAAAAAACCGCAGGCTTTAGGACAATGTAAGATTCTCAAAAAACAGTACTTTCGAAAAGGCAGATATTTATGTACTCAATTTGTATCATGCAAATTGTTATGAAATGTGTCATAACCCATTAGCGAAACTAGGGCCCTAGTTTCGGGTAGGAAGGGCATGGCATAGGGGCTGAATGGTGGCCCCGCTGAATGGTGGCCCCAAGACTCCCCGTAATTTTGAAGACTTGTTACTTGAAGAATTGAAGAATTGCCAAGCCAAGCAGTAGCTGCTTGGCTTGGTGGATCGGGGGTGGAACTGTCACCACGCAGTCACACGTTCGATTCCTCACTCGCTGGGCAGTTATTGTGGTAAATAATGAACAACGATACAACACGACGGTTGCCAATCGACTGATAATTTATTGTCAACATGCAACATGATTATATAGACATCATGAGTAATAGAATATGTATTAATAAATGTATGAAACTGTTCCTCACGACACTTTCCAAAGTGTCTGACCTAAATAGAAAGGAAGTGCTAAATCCTTCTCCCAAGAATGGGAATGCTAAGAATGAGCTGACACTGTACAAAGGTCCAATAAAGTCGGTGCCATAAACATCCGTTATGAAAGGCTACTTGAAATAGCTAACCTAAATACCTAATATTAGATCATTTTATCCAACACTCTCCCTCATTCGCATTATTGGGAGTCCTCATCTTCTTCAATCTCTTGATTCCTCAGTGGCTTTGGTTTTGTTACCACTTTCACCTTTATCTTCCGGTGGTCCAAGTAGCACTTGGTGAGGATGCACGCCAGGACTATGATGACCACGAGCAGGGTTATGATCAATCCAATCTCCATATGCCAGGTTTCCGAATGGGTCCACGTCTCTCCCTTGCTGAAGACAAAGTGGTTGTTGACCATCGGGTCTTTCATCAGTTCCTGGTAGTCCACGCGCGGCTTGAGATAAGCATTTGTCCTCATCGTGAAGAGTGGGTCTGGGCTGTCCTGGTGTTCGATGTGCACGATGGATCCCGTAAACTCCTGGTTGTTGATCCGAAATCGAGCTCCAATGGGCAGGATGAAGACCTCCTTGGGACACTCTTGCGATAAGTTGTCAATTGTAATGTTGCATCCAAAGCAGTACACATGTAGGGACCCGTGATGTGGCTTGACTTGTATGAAGTCTTCTGCATCTTTCTCTCCTCTCCCTTGACAGTGTTTCACAGAGAAATAGGAATTTTCACTCTTGTTCTTGAATCCCTTCAGGCAGTCTTGCGAGGAGGAAAGAACCAGGTCGTACATGCGGGATGTCTTCAAATTCAGGGCGACTGGACATCCTTCCTTCTTGGAGAGAATAGCATTCTCTGGTCCGTTGTAGGTGATTCTGCATGTCTGGTTCCAGGTTTGTAGCATCAAGTCAAATGCGTCAGCTTCAACCAATTGCAGCGCCTTGTTGACCTTTGGCATGTCCATTTGAATGTACAGGTCTTTCATGTCTTCCCCGAAATAGCATCTCTTTCCTGTTGCGAGTGAAAGTGGACACTCATCTTCTCCGCATGGAAGAGTTATGTTGAAATAGTCCATCATCCCGTTTAGGATTTTCTTATTATTCCAGGCCCGGGTTGCTTCTTTAATAACCTGTTTCCCCATCATCAGCTTCGTAGTTATGTAGGAAATGGTAAAGTAAGTGTTGGGGCCCTTCTCTGTTATTTCGTTCAAATTCTTGTCTAGGACTTCGTGGTCCTTAACCAAAATGTTGAAATCAGTTCGCAATTTTTGCAAGGCAATTTCAGTGAAATTCATCTGCTCCTCCAATTGATTAATGGATTTTTCTTGGAGACTTGAAATTTCTTCCAGATCTGAAATTCTTGCTGCATTGTTTGCTGCCAGCACCACTCCCCCAATGCCAAGTCCAGTCACCACCACAGCGCCAAGAGCAATCAGGGCCACCAGGATGAATCTCTTCGGTCTGTGCTTGCTCATACTGAAGTTATGGAAAGAAGGACACATCTGCTTCATTTCATGGATGAAATAAGTCTCGTACATCTCGTTGCATATTTTCTTTGCAGTCTCCAGTTGTCCTTTCGGTACGATTTCTTCAGTGAGCAGGGTGCATGGGCTGATTAATTTTATCCTTAGGTAGACCGTCTCATATCCAGAAATTACAGGAACAGGGCTTCCTCTCCAGAGAATGGGTTGGGAGTTTTGGACATTCACTCCCTGTGTTACTCCCAAGAGACACATCATCATTGCCCAGGTCCAGAAGAGACTGCCCCCACCTCCCCTTGGTTTTCGGTTGACGGGTTTCAGGCCAATCTTCTCCACCATGTCAGCATGTTTGGACTTTCCCAATGGTTTGGTGAGAATATCCGCCTTCTGGTCTTGTGTGGGAGTGTAGACCACTTCAACTTTCTTTTCTTCCGCCAATTGCCTCGTGTAGTGGTATTTAACATCCACATGCTTTGTTCTTTTATGAAATTCGGGATTGTCCACAAGCCGAATTGCGCTGGTATTGTCCACCATTATTGTTGTTGGCTCCTCTTGTTCTCTTCCAATTTCCTCTGCAAATTTTCGCAACCAGGCGACTTCCTTCGCTCCGGCGCACAGAGCGGTGTATTCCGCCTCTGTGGAGGAAAGGGTGACCACATCTTGCTTTTGGGAACACCAAGTGATAAGCGAGTCGTTCACGAACGTTGCA